GTGGACGTGAATACAGAGCAGAGGTCAGGGGTGCTGTGAGCACCATGTGCCCTTCACTCTCACTGTGCTCACACGGCTGGGACATGTGAGTCCTCACACAGAGTTCATAGGAGGAGAAGAAGCCACGGTGATGGTAGATGTGACTGGTTTCCTTTTGGGATCATCTGTGGCGACCTGGGATGAGAAGATAAAGCATTACAATGTCCAATGGGAAGAACAGGCCCGGCATGTTGCCCAGGAAAACTACTTCTGAGACTTGACCAATGGACACAGTCTCTCTAAGGATTTCTCTCTCCCTTTCCTGCCTCATGTACACAAAGCAGAGCTCACACTCACAGTACAGGAGACACACAGAGAGCAAAGAGCCCCAACCTCACAGCGATGCCGAGACAAGGGCACCCCCTACAGGATTTGAGGAGGAAACACACATCGTCCTCATATCATAAGGCCTGACCCCACAGACTAAGATTCTCAGTGAATATCTGTGTGTGTGAGTGTGAGTGTATGTGTGTGTGTGTGTGTGTGTGTGTGTGTGTGAACGGATGTTATTTTATGCCAGAATTTTGAAGTTATAACCCAATGTCTGCTCATCAATTTCATCAATTGTTTAATTGCACCCACACCGAAGCCTACACCTCCCTCACATGGCTAAGCAGCTCACTGGCCCCATCACCCAGGCTTGGCAGATTCCACAGGGAACCCCGTGCTCGGGTCCCTCACTGTTGGGGACTCTAGGACACAGAGAGGTGCAGGAAGCCCAGCATTGGCAGGAATCCCGCCTGGGACACCCCCCATCACATGTCCCCCACCTCACCGCCCAGCCCAGCAGAGCCAGCAGAAGCAGCTCAGATACAGGTGGGGCATCGCCTGTCCTGCCCGATGGGACGACCCACCCCAGTCCCACGTCCCCTCCTGGAACCACCCTCCTCTCCTGATTTCTGCCCTGAGATAAGACGCAGGGTCTGGTCTCTGCCCCTGGCTCCTGGCCTTGAGCTCCTGAAACCCTGGGCTTCTCCTGAGTGACAGGTGCCTGTGGGATGCTAATGAGGTGGCTCTTGGCTGAGGATCTGGAGGCTTCAGGGTGGGGGCTGGTTCCCAGAAAGACCAAGCTGATCTGGGGGCTGGAACTCTCAGCCTCAGGGCCCAACCAGCAGGGACAGGGGCTACAGTTCAAGTTCCATCACCAATGGCCCATGATCCAATCAATGATGTCCACGTTGTGAAGATTATTTTTAAAAGCCCTTAACCATGGGGCTCAGAGAGCTTCTGCAGCAGTGGCCACACCCACATGCTGGAGGGGACGGGGTGACACATGCCAACTCCCCATGACAGAGGCCCCTGCACTGGGGCCCTCCCCCACCTCACCCCCTGTCCCCCTTCATCTCCCTGCTCACTTGGGGCCATGTGATAAAGGGTGAGAGTGAGCCAGCGCTTCCCTGAGGGCCCTGAGTTCATCCAGCAGATCATGAGCTGGGTGGGGAGCCCTCACTAGTGTGGCCGCGCGGGTCAGCAGGGCAGGTCACTGGGGACGGGAGCCTGAGACCTGGGTGAGGGGTGAGGGGGGTCCTGTGGGACAGAGCCCTGCCCTGGGGGCGATGCTCACTCCAGGGGGTCCCGTGGGAACCGAGCTGAATGGCGGGAACACAGATGGAGTCGGAGAAGCAGAGACCTGGGTGAGCGGAGGGACAGCCCTCCCATCGCACAGACTCAGTGAGAGACCCGCCCTCCTGCCTGTCACTTGTTCTCCAGCCCAACCTGCCGCCCCCGCGCACTCAGAAGGCCCGCCTCAGCTCTTTGCTCCCAGAATTGGAGCCGGCCCTTCTTCCCGCCCCTTCCCCCGCACCTGCCGCTCTTCCCACACGAGGATCCCGCGCGGGAAGAGTCTGGTGGGCAGCAGGGACCACGCCCCTCCATCCACAGGGAACCCCAAGCCCCCCAACATTCATGCATCTGGACCCGAATTGAGGCTCCCCCCTCAGGCGACCGCATGCCAGGCTCTGACTCCAACCAGGTGACCCTGAGGGGCTGGGGCTGGCGGAGAGCACTGGGCAGGGGCGGGGGTGGCAGGGGACACAGAAGTGCACCCTCCTGCCCTCCCCCCACCCGGGCCAGGACCAACGCCAGGGGACTCAGGGGTGGGCGGTGGCCCCTGTGCCCGCAGCAGGCAGTGGTCCCTGTGGCCGCCCTGGGCTGGGTCCCCCTGGCTGTGTGGCCTCAGCCTGACCTGTGGCCCCAGATCCCGTCAGAGCCCATGGCCTGCGCAGGGCTGTGTGTGAGGCAGGAGAAGTGGGGTCCATGGTCCCCAACAGGGGGCACATCTGTGCGCTTCCTGAGAGCAGGTTAAAGACACGCTGACCTGGACCCGCTCCCCGAGTCTCCCCCTGACGCCCCCCGGGGCAGGGACACCGACAGGCCCCTCCCAGCCTCCCGTCCATCAGTGACCACACGGCCCCCCTTTCCTTTCTGGGGAAAAACACACAAACCCTTTCCCTGTGGGGGAGGCCCGTCCCTGCGGGAGCTGTGCTGACCTCAGCGGCCCCGGTCTGGCTGAGCCCCGCACCCCTTGTGGGCTCCTCACCCCCATCCCCGCCCCATTCCCGCTCAGGGGACTGGGCGCCAG